GAAATGAACTAAACCCAGACTTGCTCTCAGTGTATAGTTTATTCTACGAGATCAATGATGTCAATATATGCGTTTAGTATATCTTCCCCTACAGCTGGAAAGAGCAAGGCCAGAATCTTATTACTAGGAGATTTTTCTATTTCACAGTGTTCCCTCCCTCCTTCTCTTCTCCTCTTCCTTTTCCTCACGACCTATACGTATATACCCTCATTCAGTTCGCAAGATCCGCATCTACATAGCGCCGTGTACATATCGTCTCCGTGCGCAAGAGTCCTTATATATATACTGCCTCAGTCGGTATTCCGATTTGCAAATACTTCATATCTTTTCTCAGAACAGATAAATATATATCCAAAGGATCAGCAAATAGAATACATATCCTAGCCAGCGATGTTGGAACCCACATTTCAGCCGCCGCGCCATCATCTCTCTTTCCCGCGGACGGTTCCAAGTCTGCGAGAGTGCTACATGAAGGGGCGGGAATGGGAAGCCGCTCTGGCCCTTTGCGAGCTTTCCCTCGTTTATCGCCAGGACGCAAACAGCGAGACCACAGCAGTCGGCAGGCGCAACAGCTGCCCGCTAGACTCCACAGATGATGCGCATCTAGCGGCTCTGCCTTCACCTGAGGTGGACTCTCCCAGCGATACCGACTCTGAGCTTCACCAAACATCTTGCCCGCTCTTACATCTTGCGCGCAACGACTCCTCCGACACTATACCGTTGGACCCGGACTCTCCAGAAGCGGCAGATGCCTCGCAAAACGGATCTCTGGAACATAGCTCCCACACCATTGCGGCGCAACCTCTCCCTCGGGATTCATCCGAAGATCCTCAAACACCATGCGCACCCATTCCCAACAGCGTCAATTCCACCGTACATGCCCAAGAAAGTGGCAATCAAGGGACTGAGATTTCGTTCAGAACTGTGGTCCTTCGCCTTAATGCCCCTGCCAAGCTTAAGAGGGGCGCATCAGCTTGCAAGCGTGCATCACCACCAACTCCAGAGCCAACAAGGAGATCCACAAGGAAACGGAAGGAAAGCCGCCTCATGATCGAGTCGAATCTCGAGAATCGCAAGCCCAGCAGGATTCATCCAGAACATTATCAAATTGAAAGAATGGCAAATTGGTTAAAGGGGGAAAAAAAAGAAAAAAAAAATTTCTAAGGTCCCGTCCATGTAAATATGCCTCCGTCGCCGCCTTTTGCTAACCTTGCGATCTCCTTTCAGATACTTTAGGATATTAGATAGCAAAAGCCCTCTTGCGTTTCCCACTTTCATTCATTGCATGGTTGTTTACCATATTTTCATAGCTTTTTACTTATCGCTTTTTGGGGAACTGGGTTTAATATCCCTTCGCCCCCTTCCCCGTTCTCGATACTTTGCGATGTTTGGATATTTTATTCCTTCTGATAGCATGCACATTATTCTAATTACTCTATTCGGTTTTAAAGTCGAAATTCCCCCTCTCGCCACTTCTTTTGTTTGTAAATATTTTGTCATCTCCATGTTCGTTTGAAATACCATATGTCGTTACATGCACAGCTCCATTCCTCTATCCCTTCCACCATTCTGGTCGAATATCTGGATAGTTGAATCTTGGGTGCTCTCTGCCCCCCAATTTCCCAACACAATCACAGGTGCTGTTCTCATGTTTGTTCAATATCCTGCACTCATTGTATCACCAGCTATATTGAAGTTACCATGGTAGTTCACCTAATAAAACACTATACAGCTATCTATACCAACCCTTTAGCTGAGTATGGTAATATCTGTTGAGTATCTTCACTGCCTCTTACATAAAACGGGGGGCCGTGGAAAGTAACAAGTAAAATGCATCAAAATGGTTTCTGGGAACTAAAAAATGAGGTCATGTGTGCACATCATGTGACTTGAGAGCAGAGTATAAAAAAATGACACCCAAAACTCTTTGGGTTTGTCCCTCTGATTAGTTAAGGTTTGGCATTCTTTTAAACCTGAATGGTAAGTTAAAGGAACGAGATATGCTTATCTTGAGTTACCAGAATTCCGATGTCAGAGGAGAACCAGCCTTATTTTCCAGCAACTAGCCCCTCGCTTTCTTTGCAAAACAAGGCATGACAGGGAAAGCCTTCAAGCAGGGTTCCACTGCCTGAAGCCTTTAATCCATAGTTACATAACTAGCTACGTATTTCTCGACAATTCCGCGTTTCCCACGCCTTATTTTAATTCTGCACATGCAGCGACTGCACTTCGCCCCCCCCCCCCCAAATCCACGCGGACTAGCTATCAAGCTCAGGTTTTCCTCCAGTTGCGTCCTTACGTAGGGAGCTAGTTGCTACAGACATGAGCTACTTGGAGTCAAGAGGGAAAACGGGTGTCGACCTGTTCAACTAGTTAACCGACCTGCCTGCTTCCGGAATAACTCATCGTAAACTGCGACGGCATTGCCCCCCCATCTCGCAATGCAAGTCAAAGTAATACCATGCACAATGACGTCTATGGGGCGATGGCAGTGTGTGGGCAGCCCAACTCAGGTTCGAAACTAATAGTTTAAACTAGTTCAAGTCAGACCCCGCGAAGGCCCGCCCCGAAAGAAAAATCAGGGATACTGAAACTAAACCAAGACCCCGCCATTCTTCTTATGGTTGCTTTTTTTTTTTTTTTTTTTTTTTTTTTTTTTTTTTTCCTTCCTACAAATTTTCCCTTTTTACCCAAAAAACCCTTTGTTTTTTAAGACCGTCCCTTTTGTTGGGGGTTTCCCCCCCCCAACCCTGGCAGGGGTTCTTTTTATTTATAATTTCCCATCAAGAACCAAATTTTTAAA